CAGTTTTGGTGGAAAGATGGAGTCGGAAGCCAGAGCACAGAGGTTTTAGAAGGCAGTGAGAAGAAAGGAAGTAGAAGTCGGTCTTCTCAAGGAGTCTGGCCAAGAAAGGAAGAAGAGACGGAAGACCACAGCTAGTGAGAATGGCAGGATTAAGGGGTTTTTTGAGGATAGGGAAGACCTGGGCTTGTGTGCAGGCTGAAGAGAAGCAGCCAACAGCCAAGGAGAGACTGAAGATAAGTGAGCATGGGGATGAAAGAGGGGATGGAATGGGATCACGAGAGCAAGCACAGGGATTAGCCTTGGTCAGGAGAGGGGCCACCTCTTCACATGAAATGGGGCGAAGGAAGAAATAATAGAAGGAGCTAGAAGAGGTGAGAGGAGGGTCGAAAAAATCTGGGAGAGTCGCACTGGTGAGTGGGATCATGAATCCATGAGGAAGGTGCAACCACACTGCCTGGTGGCAGGGAGGGTCCAGTGGAGATTACGGAGCAGCAACTCTTCATGGACTCAGTCAACACAGTTTCGTGGTCTTCTCCATTTTTGTTCAGCAGTGTCTGAGTAGGACCAAAGGCCGAGGCTGGTGGGAGTGACCCGAGGCTGAGACTTGGCAAGGTCAGCCCAGTGGAGGAGAAGGGGGAGAGGGACTCAAGGGAAAAGGAGAGGAAATAATAAAAACGGGCCTGACTTTCTAAGGAGGGAGACAGATGCATACATCAGAAGAGAGGAGATAAATGAGAGCCAACCTGAGGTGCCTTTAGAGGGCACCAGCAGGCAAGGTCTCCTGAAGAAGGCACGGAAAACAATAATTACAAAGCAACTGGAGAACGTGGCGACCTCCCTCCTCCTTCAAGAGGCGGCGCCTGCAATGGCCCACAGATTCGGGTTAGAGGCCAGGGTTCGCCCCTCTCTGACTCGTCCTTAGTCCTTCGCTGAGAGTGGTAGGGGATTGAGACACATCAGGAAGCAGAGGCGACAGGGAAAACTGAAGACTTCAAGATAAGGGATGGCGAACTAGAAACAACTGCCTGGAAGCCCCTGAGTCACTGCTAAGAAGAGAAACTGCCCCCACACCCTGGGCAAATGCCAGGAACCCCTGGCCTGCCCCAGTCAGGCCCTGACTCTGCCCCACCGGCTGCCGCCGGCACGGCCCCCTTTCCGACTCTGGAATCAGATCAAACTCACTATTGCAGCGCACCAAACACCCCGGCCAGGCAGCCACCCGCGGCCCTCCCCAGGAGGAAACCGCCAAGCTCGGCCAGGCCTGGTCACCTCCTCGGGGCTGGCTGAACCCTTTCTCTCTATTTCAAAAGGCTCCTTCTGGGGAAAGAAAATCCCTGGAAGCGAAGAGGGCGCCCCTTGGTAAGACTTACCCCAGAGGGAAGGAACGACCCTCTGGGAAAGTTGGGCCCTGCTGGCGGCTAGAGGGCAGCACAGGGCACACGGACCCAAAGCTCTGAGTTCGAATACTGCCTCAGACGCTTCCGTAGCTGCAGGACCCTAGGGAAAGCACTTCAGCTGCTCGCCTCAGTTTCCTCAACTGTAACAAGCACCTCCTTTCCACTGTGGTTGTGAGGATCCAATGAGATCACTGCAAATGCTTTCTCTATAGAAGTGCCAGATGTCACTGGGGCTACATATCACCCACCACAACTGACTCGGAACGTTTTTCTTTTTTTCTTACGGAAAGCCAGCGCTGTGTAACTACAGGGAGCAAGCGTGGCCGGGACAGAGAAGGTGCGCCTCCTCCTCCTCCCTCCTCCCACTCTTCCTCCATCGGGGGTCTGCCTGGCCCCCCGGCCCCGGCTCCCCTGGTCCGAGCTGCCCCCTCTCCTCCACCTCCGCGCCGGGGCTGCACGGAACTAAAACAAAAGACCCGACGCCGGGTCTGTGCCGGAAGCAGCGCCTACCGTGGGCTGGCAAGCGGTGACAGGCGCGGACCTCGAGGCCTCAGTGTTCTCGCCTGGACAATGGGCAGCAGCGGAAGGCTGGCAGAGCCCTCCGCCTGGAGCCACGGGTGGGGGAGGGGGAGGGGGCGGGATCCTGCGCCTGGGGGAGGTTGAGGAAGGCTGTGCCCGGGGCACCCGGCTACAAAGGGGTCTCCCTGACTCCACAGCCGGGGCAGAGGGAAGGAGGCGGCGCCCTCGCCCGGGGGAGCTCCCGTTCCCCCCCGCCCCGGGAGCCCCGAGAGCCCCGGGAGCCCCGGGAGCCCCGGGAGCGCGAGGCACCGGGCAAACAGCAGGCGCTCCGTGAGTGCAGGCCGGCCGGCCGGCTCCGGGCTCTTACCCGGCTGTCGTCCAGGTCCCCGCCTCCTGCTCCCGCCGCTGTCCCCGGGCCCGCCTTGGCCCCGGCCGCGCGGCTCTTGGAGGAGCGCGTGCGGGACGAGATGAAGTGCCCGCCTCCGGGCCCGGCTGCCCCGCCGGCCCCCCCGCCGGCCCCTCCGGTCCCGGGCCCGGCCGCCTTCCCGCCCAGGAGGCGCAGAGCGCTCTTCCGGGTGTTCACCATGGCCGCCCCGGCCCGGCTCGCCTCGCTGCTCGGGCCTGAGGGCGCTGGGCAGCAGCGCAGGCCCCGGCCCGGCCCGGCCCCGGCCCCGGCGGCGTCGCCTCGTCAGCGGCCTCGGGAGCGGCCCAGCGGAGCCGCCATCGCTCCCCTTTCTCTGGCGCGCGCGCTCCCGACGCTCGCGGGACAGGACGGGACGGGACGGGGGCCTGGGGGCGTGCGTGCGTGCGTGCGTGCGTGCGTGCGTGCGTAGCGGCGTGTTGCGCCTCTGCGGGCGCGCCTGCGCCTGCGCCTGCGTCAGCGGCAGGGGCGGGATTGCGCCCGCAACAAACAGGGCGAAGAAAATGTGCGCGCGCGCCGCCTGCGACGTGCGGGCCGTGCGTGCGCGCCGGCGTCTCTCCCCCCCCCCCCCACCGCCCTGGAGACGCTCTAGGCCCGGCGCGTCTCATCTCTATGGTGGCGGGACGCCCTGGGCCGGCTGCTCTGACAGTTCTTAAAACTGAGAAGAAAGAAACGCTGCGGCCAAGGGGGCCCCGGGCAGGAGAAGGCAGCACTCATCTCCCCAGAGGCCAGCCAGAAGAAGCTGGGCAGCCTGGGGCAAAGGTGTGGAGCCTGAGGCTTAGGGGAGGAGCTCCTGCCTCCACTCCCCCACCGCCCGGGATCCCACGTCAGGGTCTGTGCTGTGAAGGGACTGACCCGGTGCAAGTTCTCAAGCTGACAATGTAAAATGGCCTCCCCCGAAGGAGGCCCCAGCACGTGCTGGGGATGCTCCCCAAGCCGTGTTATCTTCTGGTCTATTGGCCTGTCTGTGACCTTGTGCTGATAAACAGGAAGAAAGGAAAAAATCCACAACAATGGCACATGCCAAGGAGATTTATTGAAGAGCGTTCTGAGCACAGGGTCCTTCCTCGTCCTTCCTTACCGTGGTCGGCGCCCGAAGCATCTCTCTAGGACGGGGGATCTTAACTTTTCTCTGTCAGTCAGTCCAGAAAAGCCTGTGGACCCCTTTTCAGAAAATGCACAAGATAAAATGTATAGAGTTATAAAGGAAACCAATTCTGCTGAAATGCTATTATCAAAACATCTTGTAAGACAACCTCATGGGCTGCTCTAGGAGTCTAACCACATAAAGTCATTTGCCTCCAGAAGAGATACAACGAACTCTAGAGGGAGGGACATAATCCAATCACTTCTGATCTGACTCCTAGAATGGGACCAAGAGTGTGTCAAAAGACCACTGTCCTTCCAGACCCAACCCTGCCCACCCCCTGGGCCCACTTCCCCTCCGGTTACAAAGGCTTAGTCTCTCCACCACTACTACTACTAGTCAGTGAACAGGAAAGCATTAAGTGCCTACTATGTGCTAGGCAGGCACAGGTACACGTGGCATCATTCCATCCCAGCTCCTCCAGCAGATCTTGGCCCCCCTCACTGCCATCCATCATCCCCACTCTCTCCTGCTGCCCACAGACATGTCCTGTCTCCCCTATCCTGAAAACACCCTCCCTGGATCCTTCCATCCCAACCATTGTCCCTTTTCTGGCAAACCTGGAGAAGGTTCCACTCTCTCTCCGCTTACTCTCGTCTTAACCCCTTACAATCCGGCTTCCACCAAAAGTGACCAACGATGATAACTGCCCAATCCAACACCCTTTTGTCAATCCTCATTCTCCTTGACCCCTCTGCAGCCTCTGATACTCTCAATCATGCTTTTCTCCTGGGTCCTCTCTTCCCTCTGGGTGCTCAGAACACCCCACACACCCCCCCATGATTCTCCTCCTCCCTCTTTCCTTCTCTGTCTTCTTTGCTGGATCGGTCAAGCTGCCTAACCACAGGTGTCCTCCAGTACACTGTCCTGGGCTCTCTCCTCCCCACCCTCAAGACCGCTTCCCCAGGGCATCTCATCAGCTCCCATCTCTGTGCTGACGATTCTCAGATATCCCTGTTCTGCTCCAACTTTTCTGCTGACCTCCAGTCTCTCATCTCCAACTGGACGTCAAGTAGACATCTAAAACTCAACATGCCAAGACCAGAGGCCAGGATCGTTCCCCCTCCCCCGAACCCCTCCCGACTGTCCAGGGCACCCTCCCCTTCCAGGCTCTCAGCCTCGTCAGCCACGGCTCCTCCCTCCTCCCGTCCCCTCCCTCCTCCCGTCCCCCCACGTCTGGTCAGTTTCCAGGTCTGTCAATTTCATGGGCTCCTCCTCTCCCCCTCGCAGACCCTCTTCCCAGCCCTGCCCTGCCTAGAGCAGGAAGCCAAGCCTGGCCTGGCCTGAGCCTGCGGCCCGAGGGTCACCCCAGGCCTGCCCTCCCTCGTCCGGGGCTGAAGACTCCTCCGGCGGGCTGGGCAAGAACTCGGGGCGAGGGGCGAGGAGCTGAATCCCAGCGGGGGAGGAGGGGCCATCCCGCCCCCGGCTGCCGGTCCGACGGTCGCGGGCCTCCGACCCTCCCCCGCGGGGGCCTGGCCCGGCGCTCGCTCCCGCCGCCGGGGCTGCGCACGCTCGTGCACGTCCAGCCCGGAACCCAGAGGAAGAGGAGGAAGGGTCGGGTCTGGAGAATCTGGTTGGAGAGTTAGGCAGGAGTCCCGGCGGTGCAGACGCGCGCGGCCGGCCGCGAGCAGGTGAGAGCTCTGGACGGGGAGGAGAAGGGACCCGGGGTGAGGAGGGGGCTGTTGGGGGGAGGAGGAGGGGCCGGGCCCCAGGGCCGACCTGGCCTGGGGCGGTGGGGGTGAGTGGTGGGGAATCTAGGGTGAGGAGGGGGCTGCTGGGAGAAGGGCAGGGGTCGGGGCTGGGCCCCAGGCGTGAGCAGGGGGCTGCTCTCAGGAATTCAGTGGGTGGGTGAGCACAGACCCCTCCCAGCAGACCGTAGTCACTGTGTGTGACCCGAACCGGGGAGAGGGGGGTCGGGGAGGAATCTGGGGTAAGAAGGGGGCTGCCGGGGGAAGGAAGGGGTAGGTGCACAGCCCGGCAGTCGCTGTGTGTGACCCGAGCCCGGGGACCCTTCCCAGTTTGCCCCCGAAGCTCCTGGGACCCTTCTAGCTCCTTCTGAGCTCACCAGCAGGGTCTGGGCACGCCCCCTACCCCAGAGTGCCCCCCCGACCTCCTCGCCCAGGCTTGCTCCTCTGAGCTGTGGTGCCCCTGCCCCGGCTGCGGGCTTGGGGGCGGGCCAGTGGACCTCCCAGGAGCCAGCCTGGGGAGGGCCCCCAAGGGAGGCCTGAGAAGTGTGGAGCTCAGCCCCCCCCCAGGCCATGGGGAGCCACAGGGATTGAGAGGACAGTAGAGGCAGGGAATCTAGTGGTGAGCTGTCAGCCTGTGGCCAGTGGGGAGGTGGAGGCACAGCCCTGGAAACTAGAGAAGGGAGACCGGAGCTTGGAATTCCTGATCAGACGGGTCAGAGGAAGTCTCTGTAGATGGGGGCAGAGGGACATGGACTGCCAGGAACAGCCAGAGAAGAGGAGTGAGCAGGAGGAGGATTCTGGGGTCCTGCACACTGCAGGATGGGGAGCCCTGGAGTGGTGTGGGTTCTAGGTGCCACGTTTTCCAGCCCAGAGGAGGCCACGGCAGCAGGGAGGGGCACTGAGTGGCAGTCATAGGGTTACTCCAAGGAACTGGGCGTGCGTAGCGCCTCCAATAGGGCATCCGTGGCCCTGGCTGCCTGCACCCCTCCCCCATTCCTCCTTTTCTCATCTTTGCCTTGGGTGGGGGGGGGGCAGTGAGGAGAAACCTGAAATGAGTTTATTGCTAGATTTGGTTTTTCTGGCACCCTCATTTTCAAATGCATCCCTCCTGTCCTTCTTTGCCCAGGGATGCCTCTCTTAAAACGAGGACTGCAAAAGAAAAGAGGCCACTAAGCATGCATTCAGCATCTCACACCCATGCTCCCCCACCTCTGCCTTGAAGGCAAAGAGGTGCTCAAGTCTCCTTTCTGGTTCAAGAACAGACTGCATCCTTAGATGCGGCGGCTTTGGGGGCTCCTTCCATTTCTGGTGTCGCCATGCAGAATACCCTTTTCCTGGCTCTGCTCAGCCCCCCAGACAGTACCAGCTTCTCTAGAGGACATGCTTCTCTGTAGCACAGGCCTCGAAGCTCCTCCCCCACTGACAGTAGATGCTTTGGGTCCCTTCAGAAACTGTCTGCCTATCTGTCTGACATCTGTCTGTCCATCTTCTGAATCTTGAGATCAGAGGGGGAAGGGGGCATTTGGGTCCTTGTCACTCCAACCAACAGCATGTCTTTGTCCCTCGGCTTCTGCCCTCTCTGACTGTTTGCTGGGCCTGGTGGGACATGTCAGTGTTCTACTGATGTCCACTTCCCTCATTTCTCTTCCGGTGGTTATTAGTAAATTGGCAAGTCTTCTAAGAAGTGTTGACCCCTTATCTATTGGGGATGGCCCTTGGATGTATACATACATACATGTATGTGTGTATGTATGTGTGTATGTATGCACACATATGCATATGCGTGTATACAAGTGTATTTATTTTATATTTGTGTTTATGTTATTTTTTATATTTGTCCATATGTATCTTGGACATTAGGCCTTTCTTACGGGTATTGGCAAGGTTTGTTTTTTTTTTTTCCCAATTGTCAGTTTCCTTCTCATCTGTGGTGCATTGATTTTGTTGGTGTCAAACTTTTTAATTTCAGAGAACTGAAATTGTCTATTTTGGTTCAGGGTTCTCTGCCAACTGTTATTCCACCTTCCACTCTCCAATTTCTCTAAATGTGAACTTTTACTAGTACCTTACCTAAATTTCATTAAAGCATTTCATTAGATTAAATGAAATAAATATTTGTAAAACTCTTTGCAGACCTTAAAGTCTATATAAATGCTAGCTATTATTATTGTTATCAAGTCTCTCGTGCTATTCTTGTTGGGGGTAGAGGGAAGAGAGGTATGGGCTAGACTGTAGATAACATAACTAGATGAAAGCTTGGAATGACCAGACCCAAAGAGGAGTCAGTCAGTCAATAAACACTTGTCAAGCACCTACTATGTGCCAAACACTGTGTGCGCTAACTGCTGGGGATACAAAAAGGGGCAAAAGACAGTCCCTGCCCTCAGAGAGCTGATGATCTAACGGGGGAGACGAGCAAACGCATATGCATAAGTCTAGCTGTATAAGAAATAATCGGGGCTCAGGGATGTTTGGAGAAGACTAGCACTTCTGTGTGAGAGCTGCTTTCCACCTTCGGTGTCCACCTGATTCACCCAACTCTCACCTGGGGCTCCAAGAAGCTGTAGCATGTGCAGCGGCCACACCCTGGGAAACTGTGTCAGCAGACGAGCTGACCCAGGCTGAGGGTAACTGACAGACCTCAAACCCGCTGGTGAGTTAGGGGGTATCTCCCCCAAGCATGTGAAGACTTCCCCTCGAGGCATAGGTGGATGAGAACGTTTTGTTGCACTGGCCGTGAAGGGGCTGAAACAGGTGCTGTGGAGCACTTAGAGCCTGGTCAGACATCAAAGATGCCGGGGTCATCCACTGCATCCCGAGCGGTCTTGACTTTTGTCCTGCCACTGGACTTCAGTGACTCAGGAAGAGAGAGCGAGGCCCATAATTTCAAGCAACTCTTCCTCACTTAAATCCAATTTATGCACAAATCAAAAGACATCACCCACACCATTTTATCATTTTACCTGCCTCAAAGTCCTGGAGTTACAGACAAGTGACAAAGCCACAGGTGCGGATACATTGGGAGCTGAAGTCACGGCCTGCACACAGGCAGCCCAGGCTGTCACTGGATTGAAGCAGTAGTGGGGTTGGCAGCCCCCTGGGTGTCTGAGCAGCCTTTTTTTTGTTTTGTTTTGTTTGGGGTTTTTTTTGGCAATTGGGGTTAAGTGACTTGCCCAGGGTCACACAGCTAGTAAGTGTCAAGTGTTTGGTCTGAGGCCAGATTTGAACTCGGGTCCTCCTGACTTCAGGGCCGGTGCTCTATCCACTGCGCCACCTAGCTGCCCCTCTGAGCAGCCTTTTTGAAGGACCACTTTGCTTACCTCCAGCACAAGGAAGGGGCTAGAAAAGGTGCCCTAAAAATTGCCAGCTTCACCGAAACTAACCCAGACCTGTTTACCCATGGCAGGCAGGGATCCCACCCTGCTGTCAAAACACAAAAAAAATCATACAAAAATTTCTGCAAAGATGATTCTACTCACCATCGGTACATGGAATGTGCAGACCCTTATGGACAACACAAAATCCAGTAGACCTGAAAGACAAACAGATCTTATTGCAAGAGAACTCGGCAGGTATTGTATCCAAATAGCAGCCCTGAGTGAAACAAGGCTGGCAAATAAGGCCAGCTTACTGAAGTTGGAGCTGGATACGAGTTTTTCTGGAGTGAACAGAGTGATGGGGAACACCATGAAGCTGGTGTAGGCTTTGCTCTAGTCGACAAGCTTGTCTGCTTCCCAAAGGAGTGATCGACAGGCTCATAACAATAGGATTGCCACTTGCAGGAAAACACCACGCCACCATCATCATTGCCTATGCTCCCACCATGACTAACCCTATAAGGTCAAAGAAAAATGTTATGAAGACCTGGAGACCCTTATCATCAATGTGCCGAAAGAGGACAAGATTATTATTCTGGGTGACTTTAATGCTAGAGTGGGCTCAGACTACCAGACTTGGCAGGGAGTCCTAGGGAGGAATAGAGTTGGAAACAGCATCAGCAACTACTGAAAATTTGTGCATCTCATGACCTTATCACCAACACCGTCTGTTTACCTAAACACAATGAAATTCCGTGGATGTGTCCTCGAGGCAAACTTTGGCATTTAATAGACTAGTCATTGTAAGGAGAAGAGACAGGATGTGAGAGTGATGAAAGCGATGTGTGGTGCAGAGGGCTGGGCCGATCATAGACTTACCCTGTCCAAGCTAAACATTCTCATTCAACAGAAGTGGCCCCAAGACAGAATGACTGCCAGAAGAATTAATGTCAACAGATTCTAATCTGTGCTTCTCTGAGCAGGAACAGTTTGTTGCTGACTTGGAGGGAAGGTTGAGCCAACACACAACACAGTTGGCAGCAGTGGAGCAGAAAAGGAGTGGGCGGCTTTCAGAGACTCAGTGTATAGCACTGCATTGGCTCATCTGGGCCAGAACACTCACAAACACCAAGCCTGGTTTGATGAAAGTGATGGGGAAATTCAGAAGCTACTAAATGAAGAACAAGAACTCCACAGGGTTTACCAGCAGGATAGTTCATCTGTCTCTAAGAAGGCAGCATTTATTCCATCAAAAGTAAAGTACAAGTGAAGCTTGGAGAGATGCAGGATTCTTGGCTCAGTAAGAAGGCAATTGAAATTCAGTTTTATGCTGATAATGCAAAGTGCTTTTATGATGTCCTCAAGGTTATTTATGAGCCACAGACCTTTGGTGCATCTCAACTACTCAGCGCTGATAGAGCCACAGTGATTAGTGATACAGACATGATCCTGGATAGGTGGGCTGAGTACTTCCATGGCGTCCTCACCAGACCATGATCACTCAATGCTGAGGCCACTGACTGTTTACCCCATGTTGAAGTCAGTCCCTGTCTAGCCAGACTTCCAAATGAGGAAGAGGTCTTGAAGGCCATTAGGCTCCTCTTATGTGGCAAAGAGCCTGGTGCTGATTCTTTTCTAGTTGAGAGCTACCAGGCAGAAGAGCCATTGCTCATACAAAAGCTGACTGAAATCTTCTGGGTTATATCACAAGAGGAGGCTATCCCCCAGGAGTTCAAGGATGCCTCCATCGTCCATCTCTGTAAAGGCAAAGGAAATCGATTGTCCTGTCCTAGGACAATCACAGGCAGGGGTGGGGGGGAGGTCTCTCTCTTAGTCATTGCTGACAAGATTCCTGCCAGAATCCTCCTCAGTGGGCTGGTCCTTCACCTGGAAGGTGGTCATCTACCTGAGAGCCAGGGTGGCTTCAGAAAGAGCTGAGAAACGATCAATGAGATGTTTGCTGCCTGACAGCTCCATTAAAATGCCACAGGCTGAACAGAGGTCTGTACAGAACATTTGTCAATCTGACCAAGGCCTTTGATGCTGTCAGTTATGAGGGCTTGTGGGAAATTATTTCAGAATGTGGTTGCCTAGAGAAGTTCATCAGTACTATACTCCAGTTTCATAATAGCGTGCTTGCCCAGGTTCTGTGTGATGAATGATATTTTCACACTTTCCCAGTTACCAGTGGAGTGAAACAAAGCTATGTGCCTGTTCCTGTACTTTTTAGCGTGATGATTTCAACAGTGTTGTCAGATACCTTCAATGAGGATGACAACAGCATCAAGGTCGGCTACCACACTAATGGTAAGTGATTTAACTTGAAAAGTCTTCAAGCCAATACTAAAATGGAGGGAGAGTTGGTGCGTGATTTTCTGTTTGCAGATCATTGTGCACTCAGTGTAGCCTCTGAAGCTGAGGTGCAGCAAAGCATGGATCAGTTCTCTGCTGCTTGTGCTAAGTTCGGCCTAACAATTAACACCAAGAAACACAGATGCCCCATCAGCCAGCACCACACCACCCATCTGTGGAACCACTGGCTAATGGAGAAGTTTTGAATGCATTGGTAAGTTCGCTTATCTTGGCAGTGTACTTTCCAGGGATGTCCTCGTTGACAACGGGGTTGATGCACGCATTGCCAGAGCTCGCTCAGTGTTTGGGAGGTCCTTAAGGAAGGTGTGGCAGAGAAGAGGTATTAGACTGACTACCAAGCTGAAGGTCGACAGAGCCCTTGCGCTGACATTGTTGTATGCCTGTGAAACCTGGACAGCGCCATGCCAGGAAACTGAATCTCTTCCATTTGAATTGTCCTAGAAAGATTCTGAAGATCACCTGGCAGGATAAGATATCGGACACTGAGGTCCTTTCTAGAGGTGAACTGCCAAGCGTTCAAACTCTACTGCAGAGGGTTCAGCATGGGATGGCCATGTTGGTGGAGTGCTAAACATGTGTTTATCTAAAAGACTCTTTTACAGAGAACTCCCTTCAGACAGGCACTCACATGGAGGCCAGAAAAAGTGATATATGGACATTCTCAAGGTCTCTCTGAAGAACTTTGGGATTGATTACATGACATAGGAGACACTGGCACAGAGCTACCCAGCACGGCTCAGAAGAAGCTACTGTGTCATCTCCACTCCAAATGTTCATGTGGCCAACCTGTGGTAGAGCCTTCTAAGCTCACATTGGTCTGGTCAGCCACAGGCAGACATACTGGACCTTGACCCCAACATAGTCATGTCATTTTGGTCTTCCTTGAGCACAAAAGACAGCAACCAACCAACAAGAAATAATTAACAGAAGGAGGGAGATCAGGAAAGGCTTCCTATAGGAGGTGGGATTTTAGCTGGGACTTAAAGGAAGCCAAGGAAGCCAGCAGGCAGAGAGGAGGAGGGAGAACAGCCAGAGCAAATGCCCAGAGTCTGGGGAGGGCAGGTCTTGTTCGAGGAAGAGCCAGGAGGCCGGGGCTCTGAAGGGCGTACCCTTCAGTAAGAAGACTGGAAAGGGGAGGGGAGGGAAGTCATGAAGGGCTTGGAGTGCCAAGCAGAGCATTTTGTATTTGATCCTGGAGGCCACAGGGAGCCACTGGAGTTTTTTGAGCAGGAGGGTGACATGGTCAGACCTTCACTTTAGGGAAATCACTTGGTGCAGTGGAAGGGTACCAGTGCAGTCAGGAAGACCTGAGTTCAAATCTAGCCTCAGATACTTAGTAACTATGTGGCCCTGGGCAAGTCACAATGATCTGGAGAAGGACATGGCAAGCCACTCCAGTATCTCTGCCAAGAAAACTCCAACTGGGTCACCCACGGAAGAGTTGGACACAGCTGAAACAACTGAAAAGCAACAAAAATGGAAGGTGTTTAGTGGAGGGCTCCAGGAATCTGTGCATGGCCCATTTCAGGTGTTTTATCAGCAACCTGTGTTAGAGCCTAGATGTCACACAACTGGTCATCACTTAGAATGGCCACAAGGATCCAAAGCCGTCTTGACAGGATAAAACACTGGACTGACCCTAACGGATGAATTTCAGTGGGAATTAATGTGAAGGTGACCGTGGGGGTATCGTGGCAGTTCTGAAGAAGATTGTTGGTTCAGTGTGAGCCCACGGTGTGACGTGGCAGCCACAGAAGCCCTGGTCATTTGGACTTCCTAGAGAGAGGCCTGAGGAAAGGCTCTGAGCTGCTGCCACTTGGTCCTGGCCACATCCGTAGGATGAGGACTGATCTTCATGGCCCAGAGCTGTCCCCTCTCTGTTCCGTCCTGTGCACAGCAGCCCTCAGCTTGCCTCAATTACAGCCTAACCAAGTTACTCACCCCCACCACCGCCCAAAAGACTTCCATGGTGCCCTCTTGCCTCTCCTTCTGGTGGCATTTCAAGCTTTCTGGCATTTGGAGGGTTTCATTCTTACGGAGGTCGGGATCCCGCTCTTGGATTCAACCCTCACGCTGTGGTTCTGTAAATGACAAGTCCAAGACACTCCTTTCTACCAGGTTTACTTTTCCCTGTGAAAACCATACACTTGGGAACACAAAGTTATTGCATTAAGATTTATTGTGATGAAGAGGGGCCTGCCAGCAATGGGGCTGTCTGAGCTTAGCCAGGCCCTCGTGAGGCCTTTGAGCCCCGATGGATAGATGCTTGCCTCAGGCTCCCCTCTTCCTATGAGGCTAGGAGCAAGAGGCCAGTGGAAGAGGAAACCATAGCCTCAGCCTCTGCAGCGGAATATTCAGAATGTCTTGTGTTAGCTAAGACATTGTCCACCTGGAGGGTCCCTCGGAGAACAAACAGACCTAACCCCCGTCTGGGAATTATTGGAAATCCAGGGGACTTTGATTTGGCCTGGAGGAAAAAAGGCTTAATGGGCGGGTGAGATCCTTCTCAACTTGTCGGGAGCAAGCCCACCCCATAGAAGAGGGCTTAGCTTTGTTCTGCTTGGCCTCAGAGAACAGGACTTTGCAGAGAGCCAGACTTGGTGTCCAGTGGAAGTTGGGTCAGCCAGTGCAAAGGGCCTGTTCTGCCTCAGAGTCTGATTTTATGACCTCAGGAAGATCTTCACAAAAGCAAGAAAATCCAGCTCTTTTCCAGGGTCAGAACAAAGGAGGAGGATGAAGATGCCATGTGCAGCGTTGGAGCCTCTAGTCCCCAGGAGCTATCCCAGGAGAAGTCATTTGTTAAGTGCTTACCATGTGCCAGGCACAGTGCCAACAGCTAGGCGTACAACTGGCAGCAAAAAGACAGTCCCTGCTCTCCTGGACATTACATTCTAATGGCAGGAGACCGCACTCAAAAAAGGGAGAAGGGATGCTAGCCCAGATTGGAAGCCTTGAGGCCAAATCTGGAGAATGGGTCTGGGTGGTCTGGAGGGTCAGGGAAGAAGAAGCAGCTCTGCAGGATCCTGGCCTCAGTGTGAGACCAGTGCAGGTGGGCTCAGCCACCCCACTGCCCCTTAGTGCTGCTCCTGAGCCCAGCAGAGGCTCCTCTGAGCTCTGTGCCCAATCACAGAGTAGGATTAATAAATGCCAGTGCTTGTGTGAGGCTCCAACACTAAGAGAAGGCTAGTGGTCAGACCAGGATGGAAACTCCATCTTCCTCCTCCTCCTTCTTTGTCCATACCTGGAAGACAGTTGGGTTTACCTGCTTTTGTGCAGATCTTGCTAAAGGTCATAAAATCACATTTTGAATAGCTGAGGAGTAGGAAAGGAAGCATGTCCCATGGGCCTTGCCTGTTGGAGGGTCTGACTCAGGAGCATCATGAAAGCGGCAGAGTTCTTATTCTTTCTCCCAAATGGGTGTGGTCCTGGCTGACTAGGGAAGAGCCTTCCTGCTTCCCCAGAGCTCATCTCTTCCAGGCCTCTCACACTTGGGGTCACCATTTTTGCACTTTGCTGAAGTTAATGAGTTGGTTGGAGTGTCAGAGGGTGGGGTGGAAAAAGCTCATGCATCTGAATCACAGAGCAGTCGCCCAAAGGAGCCCTCACCTGCCGAGGTCAGATGTTTGTTTGCTGGAAAAGCGTGTGCGTTATTTTGGGTTGAGTTATTGGTGTTTTCTTTTTCTCAAATACATCAAAGGTTGTAATTATGTAGAATGATTTTTCAGTGTATAACTAGATGGGCTTTTTTCTTTTCCAAAGAGTTCTTCTCCTCCCCCCCCCCACCTCGCTCTCACTCTCTCCCACTCATTAGCTTGTGTTCAGGACTTGCCCAGTATTTTATGAGAGCTGGATCAGCACCATGGACAGCAAGGTTTAGCACTGGGGCTGTGACAGCTTCACGTAGGTGATGGCCAGAGATGGTCTGGGGCAATGTGGAAAGGGGCTGGCTTCAGCTTTGTGCCTTGGGAGCCTGTAGCCTCCCCGAGGCTGGAGTACCTATTTCATAAGGTTCTGAAGGTCCCTGCTGTTGTCCTTCTGTCCCCCCCTGGGTGCTTTTGTGTCCCAGGCACCAGACAGTGACCCATGTTTGGCACTCACTCCATCTGGAGTCCATGGACTCTTCCTGGGAACTCATCCTTCTAGACTTCCGCATATTTTCTTGTTGGGGCAGCTCTACTCCTTGTCCCCAGAGGCCTCAGCACTGGCCCCATCCACCCCCACTGCACCGCACCGCACCGCCCCTCCTTCCCTGAGCTGCCCCAGCCTCCAACACCCACCCCCAGCATCCCTAGCAGCTGACCTGCTACAGGCTTTCATCTTATCCCACTTGATCCTCACCCCAGCCCTGCCGGGGTAGTGCTATTATTAGCCTCATTTCGCCTGATTTTTTTAATCTTGGTTTCTTAATCTTTTGTTTTCACCTCACCCTTGTTTCTTAATATATCCCTCTCTTCCCCTTCCCAGGGAGCCAACCATTGTAACAGGGGAAAAAAAAGCAGAACTAACTCACAAGTCAACTGTATGTGGCAGTAAATTCTGTGTTCCCCATCCGTGGTCCTTCAGCCCTGCAAGGAGGGAGGAAGGTGGTTCATAGCCCATCCAGCTTTCCTGGACATTTTGCTCCTGCCCCCTTCTCTCCTGGGAGAGTTCCGTGCCTCCCATTTGGAGTTCTCCCCTAGCACTGCCCGAGATGCAAGTGCAAATCCACCGACCCATCTCTGCAGGGAGAACGGTCACCTCCTTGTCAGAGACTGGGAGAAAGGAGAGAAGGCAGGAAATGAAGTCAAGAATGGAAGCTCCTTGAGGATAGGACCCATCCTGCTTTTATATTTGTATGCCCAGTGCCTAGAATAGTACCTGGCACATAACAGGCCCTGAATAAATGCAGTGAGGTGAGGCAGTAACTAGAGCCCTGGACTTGGAGCCAGGAAGAC